AACCCAGCACTCCCACCCTCTACCTGTGGATGCGATCGTCTGTGCTGCCACAGAGAACTGAAGGGTGTCTACAGATTAGCCAGCTTTATCTTTACCCACATGTCTGACAAAAATACAGAGGATTTCAATCATATCTATTCTGTGGGTGATTTTAAGGCATTACGCACTCAGATTTTAATTCAACTAATAGCTTTAGAGCATCTCTGTTCATTAGGAATATATGCAAGCTACATGTCACTTAAAATTTTCCAGATGCCACATTTAAAAAGCAAGAAGTAGCAGGTAAGATTATTATTATTATTATTTTTTTTTGAGATAGAGTCTCACCCTGTCACCCTGGGTAGAGTGCAGTGGTGTCATCATAGTTCACTGCAACCTCAAACTCCTAGGTTCAAGTGATCCTCCTGCCTCAGCCTCCCAAGTAGCTGTGACTACAAGTGCCCACCACCATGTGTGGCTAATTTTTCTATTTTAGTAAAGACAGGGTCTCACTCTTCCTCAGGCTGGTCTCAAACTCCTGACCTCAAGCAATCCTCTCGCCTCAGCCTCCCAAATAGCTGGGACTATAGGTTTGTGCCACCATACCTGGCTAGATTAATTTTGATAATATATTTTATCGGTAATATATACATTGAGTTGCAATGTATGCAGAATATTATCATTTCAACATGTAACCAATATTAAGAAAAATTAATGAAATATTTACCTTCATTTTTATACTAAGTCTTCTAAATCTGATGTGTTTTCACAGTCCATCACGATTTGGGCACTAACTTTTAATCCGAAAGGCTTGATCTGTATTTATATTTCATAAAATTTATAGTTGAAAAAGTAGATTCATTCACGTACCCAAGTTGTTCCAGACAATAACTAACTTATGAGATTTTAAATTTAATTGAGATTAAAAATTCAGCTCCTCAGGTGCACTAGATATATTTCGGGTGCTAAGAACCACATGTGGCTACTGTATGGGACGGTAAGCCACTGAGCATCTACTATGTGAAAGGCCCAGAACAAATGAGCGTCACAACAGGTACTGCAAGGATAAGTCAGGCATAACCCTCGTTTCTGAGGGTGGGAGATAGGGGATGGTATGAACTACAGAAAGGAAAGCATTCCAAGGAGAGAAAGGGGCACGTGCAAAGGAAGACGGCTGGTAAAGCTCACAAATATCTGTAGACTGGCAGTTATGGTTGGGCATATCCCCAGAATGGTAGGAAATAAGGTTAAAAAGGGTAGCCTCACTCGGCACTGCTGATAGCCTCAAATGTCAAGCCAGGGAGTTTGCCCTAAATACATTGTCAATGGGGAAAGAGTTTCTAGTGAGAAGAATGGATCTGAGCTGTGTCTTGGGAAGATTCACTTGGCCTTGATGTGAATGATGGATGGAAAGGGGACGAGCCTGGCAGCTAAAAGACCAATTAGCTACTGCACTAGCAAAATATAATTTTAAAAATGGTGGAGGTGCTAGGAAGGAAAGAAAATCAGAAATTTAATAAATGTGTATGTAAGGATCTCGCATTTGGCAATGCAGAGAGGAAATCAAAGAAAGGCAGGAGCATACTAAAATAAGGAGTATAGAAAAAAGGGTGGATGGAGAAAAGTTACTTCTAGTGTATTTGCATATAAATGTTTTAAAAGAAGATTGGAATATATGTGCATATGGGATAGAGGGGGACCTTTGGGCGGACATGAGAAGAAATCAAAATCTATTTCTAGAGCTGCCAAATTATCAGAATGTACAACTTGCTGAGAAACAATGTACACTATACTGGTCCTACAGTGGACAGGCTGAAGAAATTCAATTATGGAACTATTCATTAGGAAGCGACGCAGCTGTTAAAAATTATTGCTCTTGAATTATATTAAGGGATGTGGGAAACTACTCAAGATACATCCTTAAATGAAAATTTTAAGCTTGGAAGATAGGATTCCAATTTTATTTCAAAAGGATACACACCTACCTGCTGCTGAGCACAGAAAACGTGTGGGTGGACACACGCCACGCTGTTATCAGCACAGGTTATCTCTCGGGAGTAAGACTGAAGGGGGCAAGAGCTCTTACATTTTGTATTTTGCCATTGTTTGAATGTGCTATAGAGAGCTTATTTTACTTTTACAAAAGGAGAGAAAGAAAAGGGTAAAATATGTATTTATACACCCAGAACAATGAGTGAAAGGATGTATATCAAGAATTGTCTCTGGGTCATTTTTATTTTCTTATTTATAAACTTTTTTGTATTCCAAGTAAATGTGTAATACTTCTATAACCAGAAAATGTCATAAAAGAAATAATCTACTAATATAATACTGATGGTACAATCAATTTTAAATTTCTTTGCAAGGCCAAAGGTTATAGGGTTATTAGGGTGTTCTTTAAAGAGGTTTAAATCCAATTTCTTTTGCTTCTTTGGGGTTCATGCTTATTTTTATTGCCGCTCAAGCTATTTCTACTTTTTTTTGTTTTTAAAATGATTTCCATTCAATGTGGCCAAAAAGGAAAATCGAGGCCAGCCACAAGGCAAGCCTTCCTGAGAGAAGACAAAAAGCCTCTGTAACCTGTGGAATGAAAACTTCACCAGTAGAACGTGACTCTTTTGTCATGAATGACTTCAATTGCTGGTGGACAGAAATTTTTAACAAGAACAAAGAGCATCAGAGCAATTTCAGTGCTCTGGTTGTCACTCCAGGGCAAGCGCACTGGTAACTTTATATTACGGTGACGGGAACAAAGAACAAGGTGTCCCATTCACTGTGAGGCTCCTGCAACCAGAGGGTCTCAGGCCCTCGCAGAGCCTTTCCCTGACGTGGAAACAAGAAGAAACTCTCAAGGAGTGTGCAAGGGGCTGAGAGCAGGTAAATCATCATCAGCCACATAAATAACAGCAGAAAATGGGCGGAAGAGATGAAAGGATGCCACCTGATCATTCGCCGATGGAAAGATGTGCACTAAATCAGGGCCTTTTCTGTCTGACGCTGTTTTTACGGAATAGCTAAGCACACAAGGAAATACCAGTTGGGTCTTAAAGACAATTTATAGCTGGTTGGCCTCATTGCACCTGGCTGTTTTGACAGCAGGTTTTGTCAGTTTATAGCAGAGATTCTTGTCTACACTATAAGCTGTCTGTCACTAATGCAACTAGACCTTTGGAAAAAATGTACCGCTCAGAGGCAAATCTCTCTCTTCCACATACCCCTCCCCTTTTAATGAAAAGCAAAAGCCTCCTGCTGGTGGAAGGCCCTCCTCCTCTTCAGGGGAAATTACGTGGCCCTGGCAGTGAGAGGGTCAGCCCCAGCGCCACAACCCAAGTGGGGAGCGCCTGCTTCTGGGGAGGGATTAAGGACTCTTTCTTTTCCCTTCCCTCGGGGCTGAGTGCTGCAAACAGCAGCCTTGTTGTTCCAGGCCAGGAAATTCAGGAGCTGGCTCTCTGAGCCCGGACTCTTCCCTGCTTCCAGGCCACACTAAGAATGTCTGGGAGCCTTGTGACAGCCTGGCTTAGGAACATGAGGCAAAAGGCTTTGGAGAGCGCACTGTCCGCCCCCCCGCCGCATCCCCATCTAAAAAAAACGAAGGGCAAGGCTTGGCTACTCACAACCACACAAACCTTAACTTGTTTTCCCTGCATTGTTGTACTCAGTGAGTGGTCTGGTCTAGAAGTCACCTTCTTAGAAACCACAGGACCTCAATGTCATATATGTGAGTGGAAAGCGCTGCCTCCCAGAACCGGGGGCTGCCTGGCCCCACGCCTGTTTTGTTTTATTATTTTTTGTTCCCAGAAGGATTGGGCCAAAGAAATAACTTTTAACAGGTGGCACACATTCCTGAACCTAAGGCCAAGTGTCCTTTTTTAGGAACGAGCTGGTGGTGGCTGGTGGCCGGGTGGTGGAGAAGGACAAAGATGCGAGTGGAGGGGCGGAAAGGTAATAGCGAACAGCCCCTCCCGCGCTTTCATTTCATGGTTCACAGACATTCACTGACATTCACACACTCCCAAGGGGAAGCTCATGTAACCAGCCATGAAACCAGAAACGAGCAGGCTGAAGGGGCTGCTTGCCTGGGCCCAGGGCAGAGTTTCTCACTGCCACAGGGGTCTGTCCCAGACCCCAAGGCCCACTACAATGGGTCAGGCCCCATCTGCAGCTGCTCTGGGGGCTGCAGGCTGGGAAAACCCCAGACCTCCAGCATCCTCTGACCACCCATCTTGGATGTCACCCTCAGACTTCCCAGGTCCTAGGCTCTTGCTAAGGTCAGCATTCAAGTTGGCGAGGGGGCTTGGGCTGTCCAGTAGGCTTTGGAAGGCACAGAACCTAGGGTGAGTGGAAGGGAAGAGGAGGCTCCAGGCCAGGCGATTCCCACGAAGCCAGGGCTGCCCAGGGAAAAATTTCTCCCTTAGAGTTGCCCATGGACTGAAATGGAAGGAGAGAACAAAATCTTGAGTAGCGCTGAGCCCAGGTTCCTACGACAGAGAAACAAATCTAAACAGGTCATCCAGGTGAGGAGGCCAGCCTGAGGCAGGAGCCTGAGGCAGAGCCAGGGAGGCTGTGGCCAGGGCACGCACGCTGGGGAAAGGAGGAACAGAAGCCGTGGGTACAGCGGGCCAGAGGAAAGCCGCAGCAAACCAGCTCGCTTGTCTGGCTACACCCTAAACGCGGGGCTGGAGGCCAGCTGCTCCCCACGGGGGGCATTAAACTGTTGCCTGGAGACTCCACCCAAAATATACACCACCCTTTGCGAGACCTCATTTAACACAGTTCAGAGGCTACTGTCATGTCCACCTGGAGCACCGCAGTCATTTGATCAGTGGCCAGAGGCACGCCCCATGATGTCAGGCTGAAATGGGGTGGGAAGATCAGTATTTTCCTGACTTAGGGACTCTCCACCTCAGTAAGATAATGACTTTTATATGCATATATTCAGTGCTCATTGTCATGATTGATACACCAAGTAGCAAACTTTACTATTCTCCACAGACTCTCCTAAAGCATTATCTTGAGTGTACCTTTGGTATTCCAGAACTCTCAAGCCAGTCTTGGAAGATGTTTTCAACAGACAACTCAAGCCTGTAGAAATAAAACAACAAAAAGTAAAGGATTAAAAAGCTACAGAGCACTTGTTACACAGAATACTTCTCTCTACCTACGTGGGCACACCACAGCGCCAATCTTCCAGAAGTCGCTGCTTTTTGGAGCAAGGGCAACGCTCCCCTGGCATAAAGTGTGGAAGGGAACCCAGTCACATCAGTGTAGCTTCCCTTCATCAATAACAATATGCACGATGGACCCGAAGAACCACAGGCATCCCAGAATAGGTGCTTTTAATGCTTCGAAAGGAAGTTTCTGGTTGGGAAAGCCAATTTAGGGAGGATAAGGCATATTTATAGGACATATCAGGCATGACTGCTTCCTGGAGAGTGGTGAAGCAACGTGGAATCTGAATACTGTAGCATTTAGTGCATCAATCGACAGGAAATTTGTACTTTATAGCAACAAGGGGCTACAACATGCCAAAAAAACCCAAAAAAACAAAAAACAAATCATCAGACCACAGAGAGGCTCAGATACACGGAATCAGGGTGGTTTTCCGTTTTCAAGCAGGCCACATTCTGCTTTATTTGAAGTATTAAGATTGGTTGTTATGTCTGATCTCGAGTCAGCTGAAATTCTTTTGCTTTCATGCCCTGCTGACTTGACTACTCCTTAAAATTACCAAATATCTGATATTTTGAGGGTCAACAGACTTTAGGTTGTGTCTTCCTGTCTTCTTTGGCTAATGCAGTTTAAAGCAAACCCATCCTCCACCCACTTCTAGATAACTCCCCATGCCTGGAATCTCTGCTTACAGAGAGGTCTTCTTGACTTCCTCCCAGACTGAAGCAAGGCCTTCCCCGTGTACCTAATACCCATCACACTCCCTGTCCTCTGCATCACGGCGTCTATCACAGCTTGTGACTGAGAATTATTTGATTACTTCACTGTTACTGTTTCCTCACTGGATCAGAGCTCTCTGACATGTAATCCCAGCACTTAGAATAGTTCCTGGTATGAAAGAGGATCCTCGTAGATATTTTTTATTTGAATGAATGAAAACACATTTCACTGCAGACTCAATAAAAATTATTCTTTTTAATGTAATATTCACCTTTACCAGTAATATATTTCCAAGTTGTTAAGCTCTGCATCTTTTAAAATTTTATAAATTATATACTACATTATATATACACTTATGTAACTATATATGCTTACCATCTCTCTCCCCTTTGCAATTGTAGAAGTTGTGCAGAAATACAGTGTTAACGTGCAATGGTAAGATACGGAAGGCCAAGTGCGCCCCTGACCTGTAGGTGGTGTGGGCAGTAGTGAGAAAGGAGGGGAGGGAGGAGTTGGCTTGGGTGGGGCTGGGGAAAAAGGGAAATGACTCATTTTTCTCTTCCTTTTCTTCCTCCCACTGGTCACTGATACACCTTGTCTTCTTTGGCCAGGACAAAAGCAAAAACTGCCTAAGGAGGCAACTGTTGCTATTTCAAAACAGAAAAATACAGGGAAGGAAATCAGGGCTTATGCAGAGAAAGTGGTTTGAATTCATATGAAAGATGATGCCCTCCGTGAGACTACGAGGCAGAAGGAAAGAGGACAGAAGTGGACAGAGGGAAGACGACTACCTCTCTAGGTGCTCCTGGTTCCCAGAGGCAGTGGGATTACTGGACAGGCCTCATAGGAAAGGCCGATGCCGCCATCACTGGGCCTTCCCACTACTTCTTAGTTGTCATTTAACAGCGTTCATCTCAGTGTGAATAGCCAAGGCCCCCCCGTAAGCTGTGAGAGTGTGGAAGCGTGTGTGTGCACACTCATGCATGTGCATGGATGTGTGCACACGTGTGTGCATGTGTGGTGGAGGTGGGGGGGACCTGAAGAGAGAAGGCAGCTCTCAGAGCACCTTCAGTAAGTTCTCTGTTCTTTCCCGAGCTTGATTTACTTGGGAGAAGGGTGGGAGATGCCCTTAATAGGCATTACTGATCTGCCAGGAGGAGGAAAGTGGGGCTGACTGACCACTTAGAGCTGCCGTCCCCAACCCCAGGGCTGCTGATCAGTGCCAGTCCGTGGCCTGTTGGGAGCTGGGCTGTGGGGCAGGAGGTGGGTGGCGGGCAGGTGAGCCAGGCTTCATCTGTATCTGCGGCCACTCCCCATCGCTCGCGTCACCGTGTGGCTCTGCCTCCTGTCAGATCAGTGGCGACACTGGACTCTCACAGGAGCGCAAACCCTACGGTGGACTGCGCATGCCACGCGAGGGATCTAGGTTGTGCGCTCCTTGTGAGAGTCTGACGCCTGATGACCTGGGGTGGAGCTGGAGCGGTGGAAAATAAAGTGACTCCGAGTTTCCTTGGGCACAGAGAGGAAACTGTCCTTCACCGGCTTCCTTTTCAGCCAGGAAGGGACATTCCTCGCTGTGCCTGGAAGCCTGGGGCCTAAGCTCCTGCTTCCCATCCCTGGAGGATCCTCAAAAAGGCAGAGTGAGAGGCGGGCTTTGGAACTGCACCAGGGAAATAGGTCTCTTCCTTTCCCAGTAAGACGCTGAAGAAGACAACGCAGACTGCAGGAAGGATTTAGGAAGAGCAGTCGTGACAACCAAAGGGGCAAGCAGGCCGTATGCACGAGGGAAGGCAAGGAACTGGGATCGGGTCTCTTGAAGAAGACAAGTCTGAGGAGTGACTTAACTGCCATTTTCGAGTGATTTCACGAAAGACGGTGGACAGCTGTTGTGCATCACCATGGAGGAGGGACTATGAGGACACGGACATAAATTTCCTGAGGGAATTGGTTCTCAAAGATACTTCTCTAGGTGGGGCAGGGAGGAGGGGCTGGGGAGTCGAGTCCTGGAGTGTTACCGAGTGAGGCCCACAGTCTGCACCAGAGAAGGCTGAAGAACAGGCAGACTTCTCCAGGTGGCCAACATCCGGTGGATGCCTCCTGGGCACAGGAAGGCTGACATGGGAAAACCCAGGGAGTAACAGTCATTAGGGACAGGTGACAGACACCAGGCAGAATGCCACCAGTGCTTGCAGAAATGGTGATTCTCTGGGTGTGGAGGAGGAGCCACCTGCTGCAGGTTGGACAGGTAACGGAGGACAACGAGAGGTGCATCAGGAGAGGCTTCTTGAGGAAGCCATGCTTGAACTGTGTTCTGGTGGCGCAGGGCCGATAGAAATGGAGGGAAAGCTCATCTCGGGCAAAGAGAGCAGGATTCCCAGCACCATGGTGTGCACACACTGTTCAGTGCAGCTGGGCTGGCCCCCAGAATGAGGGAGGAAGGAAACAGCGTGTCCCGTGAGGATCGTGGAGTCCCTGCCACTGGGCCTTGGCTTCATCAAGGAGGCTCTGGAGCATGGCTACAGAATGACATGGCAGAGAATGGAGGCGAGGAAGCATGACCAAGGGGACGGGGCTGGAGGCAGGGAGACCACCTGGGAGCTTGCTGAGCAAGTTTCAGCAGGAGGCAATGAGAGGAGCCCAAGCAGGTGTGGCGTGCTGGGGACGGATCTGGAGTGGTCCTGCTGGAGGCTGGGAGACGGTGTGTGGATGATGGGCCCTATCGATCTCTGCAGGCCAACGTTCCACAGAAAGCGTGTGGCTGCACACAGTCAGCCTGCGCCACAGCCTCCTGCCGACTCTGATGGTTAGTTCATTGACAAGTATTACGGCAAATTCTGCTTTGACATATGTAGTCAGCGCACACATGGGTACTAACATACAGTGGCACTAAAAACAAAACAAACAAACACTCCTCTATCCACTGCCAAGTAAAGGCATAAAAGAAGTAGCCACTATTTATTGAACATCTACTATGTACAAAATCCTATTTACTTTACAATAACTGTGCAAGACCAATATTATTATCCCCGTCTTAGAAGTGAACAAATAAAGGTTCTGAGAGGTTGAGGAACTTATCCAAAGCCACACAGATGGTACTTGAAGAGCTGGGATTTGAACCTATGGTGCTGGCTATGAAGCCCCAGCTTTTCTTTCTGTTCTAAACTTAGCCTTCATGACACACCAGTTCCTGTTATGGTACAGACAAGCCTGCAGAAGGGGAGAGCCCGTGCCTGCTCCAGATCATGCTGACTTCCCCTTCCTGTTAACGTCTCTCCTGCAGTTGCCCTGTTTGTCAGCCCTTTGATTATATTTTTGAAGAGATGGGGAGACCCTTGAGGGTGGGGTGCAAAAGTGTGAGAGCCCACAGGGCAGCTGCACCCAGGAGCAAAAGACACTCTCCCGTGAATGAAGAGAACGTGTGTTTTCAGATCACTAACCTTTGGATAGGTTCAAAGTATCTTATAACCATTATCACTTCATTTCTCATAATACCCTAGTGAAGTGAGTGTCAATTGTTGTGTGGCTTTTTAGCAGACAGAGAAACTGCAGCATAGGAAGACGCTGGCCAAAGCCAGGCCAGGCAGAGGACTAAAGAAAAAACCCAGTTTCCTAAATTCCCAGTATCAGTGCAGATATCACAGTGCACCATGCCCTGTTGGTGACTGCCAATGTGGAATAAAATGTTAAATTATGAGAGGAAGATGAAAGCATTAACTTCAGTTCCTAAAAAAATATTTTTAAAAGGTATTATACATACATGACTTCACCTCCCAAGGAAATTATGAGAAACCATAGTAAAATGTTTAATTTTCAGGGAAGAAATGGACTATGTGTTTTAGGAAAAAAGATAACATGCACATAGTTTTTGGTGTTCTGATCATAATTATTGAGATGACAGTACAGGTGAATTTTTAGGTCTGGGTTTGGATATATGCAGTGGTAAAGCAAAAAGTTGACTTTTTCAAATCAAGACGCTCATAGTCTAAGCCAATGGTGAATTTTTTCCCTCTAAGATCATGTGGCTTAAATAATCACAACAGACAAGCAGAAGCATTTCCACTTAGCCAGAACCCAGGACTTACAGGAAATTACTCTTCTGCATGTCTGATCACTATGGAAATTGATTTTATACAGATAGCTAAAAGTACACACACCCATGACTGCATGTCCTCCACATTCGTACTAGTAAGCATGCACATCCTGCCTGCTTACTGAAACCCCCACCCGAAGGCCACTTCCTCACCCCCATTCCTCCCGGGCATTGCAACAGCAGGTGGTTTTGCCCCCTGACTGGCTGTTCCCTCGCTGCGCTCCTACATTCTACGGGGCAACTCTGAGTTTCAGTGGTCTGTCTCCAGTCCCTTTGAGCTATAAATGTGGTCGCACTTAGTTAACACAGCAGGGACAGCAGGGGCAAGAATATGCTGGCCACCCTGTCATGATGCTGGTTAGAAAAATAAGCTGTGTTTAAAGCTGGAAAAGTGACCAAATTGTACGTCTCTTTGTGATGTTACAGAAAATAGAAATAAACACAGACTTGCATGAAAATGGTATTGCACACGACTGTATCTGCTCGCTCAGTTGATTTCTGAGATTGGGGCGACAAGGATGGGAGTCGGTTATTAGCTGTATCTACTACTTGTGCCTTATCAACTTGTTGCTGATCAAGAGAAATGTCTTTATCACCCTCGGCTCCTGTCTTCAGCTCTTGAGATCCTAAAGATCACGGTCCGTCGGTGCCTCTGAAGCAAGGCACACAGCCCCAGCAACTGTCACAGGAACTAAATAATAGACTTAAAGATCTCTGGGAGTGCAGGTATAGACTAGGCAGAGGCAAGGCAATGGGAACTTCAGAGCTCAGGGTCTGAAATGGAAAACGCTCTTGTTCTAGAATGCAACTTACATTCTGTATAGATTTTTAAATTTTAGTTGACTTAAGATTTAAGTACCCCCTCTACATGTGGGTGCAAGTAGTGTGCATCTCAAAGCTTTGCACATGGTAACTTATTTTCTTGATCAAAACAAGTCATTTGTGCTTGGGTAAATAACAAAGGTTGTTGAGGTCGCATTTATGAAACAAGTATTCCTTAGCTCCACGGGGGAGGAAAAGTATTAGATTAAAACAAGCACATGAACACGCACACGCAAACACAATAACCGATAGCAAAGGAAGAAGCGGTAGCTGTTGAATACTGCGTTGAACACTGGAGTACCGAGCGGGCGAAGTACATTGGGTAAGGTACTCCCCAGGGTGCCCGTTCACCAGAGAGGCCCGGGGTTTGTCTGGATTTTCTTCAGAGCACTCTTAGTTTTATCTTACAGCATCTCCCTGCTTCCACCTTCAAATACTCTCTCCTTCCACTCCCTTTGCTCCACTCTGATTCCCCAAACACCCGCCCCCCGGTATTTCCAACGCTACTGCACAGTGTAACTTAGTGGCCAAGAAAGAAAGGTCAGGCTCATGCTTGACTCCTCTATTCAACTTCCATAACCAGTCAGCCCAGTCTTACCTGTGGCAACTCTAAAGTATTCCTTAGAGCTGTTCATTACTGTCAAACTCTACTGCCACTGTCCCCATCTCTGCCATAGATTCAGCTCTCAAGATCTCTGGCCTGAATTGCTCTATTGGTTTCTAACTGGTCTCCTGGCTTCCAGTCCTCCTGGGCTCCGTCTCTCCCCGACACTGCCCCCGTAGAGGAGCCTTTCCAATCTGCCGATGGCACTCCCATCCTCAAACCCTTCAGTGGTACCTCTGCCTGAAGGCTCAAGGCTGCTACTGATGAGACCGTTCTCTGTGTTCCCAGGAGCTGAACCTCCCCCGAGCAATTCCTACACTGAGCCATCATGACCAGTTTCTGTTATGTCTTCAGCAGCAGACTAGGTGCTTCCTAGGGCTGGGCATGGGATTTATTCCTCTTTGTTCCCCAGCGTCCAGCCCAAAGCCTGGGATGGGAGATGCTTAATAAAGAATGTTAAATGAATCAAAGCAAGAGAACAACACAAAGGCAGTATGACACACACAGTACCAGCCTCTGAACACTCACTGGTTTGATCTGAGAAACTTTGCCCTGCTCAGAACAGCTCACGTGCCTAGCAGATGTGCCTGAGGATCAGTCTGCAGCAGGGGCCAAAGATTAGAGGCTTCAAGGGGTAGGTGTGGGGCCTTTGGAGACCAAGACAAAATTGGTACAATATGTTGCATAGGTAATAGGGTAAACAGTCCGTTTTAATAGCTGAACTAGATTCTGAGATTAGTTAGCAGGCAAGATGTGTGAGTTTCAAAATATATTTTGGTATACTTGCTGAAATAGATTCATTGTAGGGCTGAAATCTCCTTAGCTTTTAAGGAGAATTTTTAAAAAGAAGCTAAATCTACTAGCTAAAACATGATGCTAAACGGGAGAGGTAGCCTATCAAAATGCATGTGATTGGTGTTCGCTGGCCACCATTAAGACAGGTGCTGCTCTTAACTTCCACAATTACAGCAAAAGTCTCTTTGTGGGTCTGGTGTGCAGCCTCAATAAATATTCACGATGATACAATCCAGGTCAGCCAGAGGGCTCAGGGGCCATCCAAATGAACTCCATAACCTTATTAGGAAGAGGATTAAAAGAGAGAAGACTTCCAAAACTAAAAAGGCACTTTGTTGCTTCAGTGAAGATGGCTACATTCATGCCCCTAAGAAGTTCTTCTGGATAAATGCATAGTCGCCACTCAGAAACAAACTTTGGTAACAGCCTAAGGAGGTAATACACAATTTCTATTAATTTTCTCTTTTTCTCTGCTTTAATTTCTAAGGAAACTGCTTTGTTCTATGAGAGGACCTGAGAAGTCATTCTGGGGCAGGTACAAAAGAAAAAAAAAAAATATCTTGCAAGTAAATTGTTGTTCTTGATCTTAGGAGTAAGGACCACATCTGATGTGATTTTCACATGAAGAAAACCCATATGTCTTCTTTAAAAAAAAAAAAAAAAGGATGGCAAATCTGAAACATTTCAGACCTCCCAAAACAAACTACACTTCCTTCAAGCAGACTCCTGAAAAGCGAACTATCTTGGCCAATTACTAAGGCCTCAGGCAGTCTCCCTGGATGGGACTTTCTTCAGCATCAAAAGGCATGAACATGAAGAGGTAGAAAAAAAGGAATTAATCCAATTATATGGGTATGTTAATTCTGTATGATGCACTGGCTTGCTTTATGTGTGTGTGTTAAATGGGTACAAAAATACAGTTAGATGGAATAAGATTTAGTGTTCGATAATACAATAGGGTGATTGCAGTTCATACTGTGTCAGATAGTTCAAAATTGCTGGAAGAGAGAAATGGGAATGTTCCCAACATAAAGAAGGGGTAAAGATAGGCATGATGGCTCACGCCTGTAATCCTAGCACTCTGGGAGGCTGAGGTGGGAGGATCACTTGAGGCCAGGAATTCAAGACAGCCTGAGCAAGAGCAAGACCTTGTCTCTACAAAAAACAGAAAAATTATCCAGGCGTGGTGGTGTGCCTGTAGTCTCAGCTACTCAGGAGGCTGAGGTGGGAAGATTGCTTCATCCCAGGACTTTGAGGTTGCACTGAGCTGATGACGCCAATATACTCTAGCCCAGGCAACAGAGCAAGACCCTGTCTCCAAAAAAATCACACACACACACAAAAAGAAGAGGTGAATGTGTGGGGTGATAGATGTCCCAACTGCCCTGGTTTGATCACTACACATCGTATGCATGTATCAAAACATCATGTGGACTCCCAAAATATGGACAACTATTAAGCATAAAAAAATTCACCAACAGTAACATTTCTACCTGTTGAAGAAAGAATTTGGAATCATTCTAAATAGAAGGTGGAAGATAAGGAAGTTTAAACAAAAAAGGCCAGACGAAAATGCAATGCTCAGCAAAAGACTCTCAATAGCCTCATGGCTCCTGCACCCTCTCCTGAACTTGCGTGCTATCTCCTGTGCCTAGCCTGGTAGCGTAAGCCCTGATACCTTACCCTTGAGACACTGAATTTAGAGTGCCTGTAAGATGGCTCATCAACAAATAGGTGACTGGTCCTGCATAAATCTAAATTTACATCTGTGTCAAGGAATTCATTTCTACATTTGGAAATCTGTCATGTGCGTAAAAACATAGCTAAAACTGTGGGTCAGAAATGAGAGTAATATTAGCTCTTCTTCAGAGAAATGTTTAATTTCTCAAAATGCCCCCCTTTAAAGTTTGAATACCAATTTTGCTATTAGAAATTATGTTTCAGGGTATTCACTTGAGGGCCTAAGGTAAGATAGAAAATTAGAAGAGGGTTGGAATGAACCTAGTCTAACCTATAACATAGGTCTTAAGCCTCTTATTACTACACATTTTTGCCTTCAATTAAACAGTGTTTCCTTATATGAAGCTGCGTTAACTGGAGCCACCCTAACTTTTTAGAACTTTCCTCTCCTCCATTCTTTTCCACAGCAGCTAAGGCCACAGACTGTCCTCAGCCTGCTTCCTACACCACTTACAGGGCTCCTGACTCTGCGATCCTTGCTTGTACGTGGCTGTGCATGCCGGCTCCCAGCATCCACGTGGGCCCATCCCTAAGTCTGGCTGATTATCCTGTGACTCCCGCTGCCTTAACTAGGTCCCTACCTCCATTAAGAGAAGAAGATTGGCCCCCGCCCCCGGAGCCACAGAGTCGACTCGAAGCGATTGAACTTTCTAGGTTGTGACAAGGCAAATAATGGTGGGACCATTTTTAACATTAAAAGTAAAACTGGCCTCTTAATTCCTAAATTGGTCATTACCTTTTTTCTTCTGGGATGTTCTCCAATAGCATTTGAAGGAAATCCTGGGATAAGAAAAAAGCAAACCATTAAAGATGTCCATCAATAAATAATTCTGCCTGGAACCATGCCAGACACTGAGCATTCCCGGCTGCTGACCGCTCACCTGCTAGGTAGGAAAGCTAGACCTATGCCAACTTATTAGACTGTACACTCAATTTATTAATTTTACAGAGTAATCAATCCAATCTTTTAAAGAGATTTATTTTGTAAAAGCCACAAAACTGAAGAATGGAATGCTTATTATTATATTTTGACCTAACCCAATAGCCTATTTATTTCACTTCACATTTAGCCATTTTCAAAAGGCTGGCCATCGCGTGAAGCATTATCCCCCTCTCTCACCCATGGCCACCTCTGCGGGAGTGTTTCCTAGATAGCTCTGCTACATACTGAACAATCTGAACTCCCAGAGGCTAGTAACTGACTTGCAACTTTCTTGCATTGCTCTATGGGACGATAAAGACAAATATCAAGATGATAAATATGCCGATCGAGGAACAGAGATGTCCCGAAGTCCAACTGTGGCTCACAAGCCCCTGCCTCTATCTGCAGCCTCTTCTCATGCTGCTGTACAAGTCCTCAGTTGTTGGACATTTGAGATGGTTACATGATATATGATACGTTTTTCTTAACCTAAAGGCATGATTTACACACACATACACACTTGTTTTTTCCTTGACTTTAGAAAATATCAAGCACAATCAGAAGGAGACAAAATAGCATAATTAACCTTCACGTACTCATCAGCCCACAGCCAGTCCTGCCCCTCCACTTCCCTGCCTCCTGCGTTATTTAGAAGCAAATCTCAAACATTACATGATTTCATCAATAAAGGTTGTAGTAAATATCTCTAAAAGATAAGGACTCATAAAACATAAACCACAATACCATAAGACCTAAAAATTTAAAATATGAATGTTCATTTATATTTAATTTGTACCTTGAGTATTGTGACCCATCATTCTAGCCCATCTAATTCTGGAATCTTGACTTGGTCTTAACCAGAGTTGTCAGATAAAATACAGGATGCCCAGTAAAATTGGGGGCATAATTACACTAAAAAGTTATTCATTGTTTATCTGAAGTTTGAGCTTAACTGTACTTTTCCATTCCATATTTTTATTTATTAAATGGGTAACCCTAGTGTCAACCTTTCCTCATCTGAAGGCTTGATAAAATATATTTTCGATAAATACAGAACATGAGACAAATAAGAATAAAATTTAACTTTCTTGGAACTTGATATTAAATAACAAATGAGATTTATACTTGAAGTTTTTCTTTTAATGAATATAAAATAATCTTCTTAAATGGGCCATTTAAAGTGTAAGCTCAGATGAAAACAATCTTTTAAAATGGGTTAAAATGTAAGCCTAAATATGACAAATGAGAGTCACTCCAGACTGAAGCCCTCCCAATAGAACCAAGCCTGCATGGATCTCATCAGAGATCCATTTAACTTGGAGTGTGAGATGGAAGCAACAGCACAGATCTTCATACTACAACACAGACAGAATTACAGAGGAATAGAAATCTGTAAACAGTTTGTATGACAAGGTGCTTTTCTTCTATCATCACACTGAAGTATAGCTATCACTACACTAGCAAAGCTAGCCATCCCATTTCTACATGTTTATGGGTGGTTACAGGCCATTTCTTCCAGGGGAAAAGTCTTCCTACTAAGAACATTAATGAAAGATTTATTTTTTGCAACCTCTGTTCTTTTTCTGAGATTTTGTTTATTGCTGCTTCACCTACAGTAACAATACAAAGAATCACAAAACTAATGTTAAGAAAATGGAGCGAAGGACAACCGCCAACTGATTAATGCCTCACAACTGAAGTCCTTCCTTGCATCTGCAGTGGATATATGGAGAAACACCAAAGGAAACAAGAGCAGTATTTAGAATGCAAAGAATTATTTTTGCTTGAGGTTCTTTTTTTTTTTTTTGAGACAGAGTCTTACTCTGTCATCCAGGCTGGAGTGCAGTGATATCATCATAGCTCACTGCAACCGCTGATGCCTGGGCTCAAGCGGTCCTCCTGCCTCAGCCTCCTGAGTAGTTGGGAGTATAGGCAACGCATCTGGCTAATTTTTCTACTTTTAGTAGAGATGGGGTCTCTTTTCTATTTTTAATAGAGGTGGGGTCTCACTCTTGCTCAGGCTGGTCTCAAACTCAGGCTGAGCTCACTCAAGTGATCCTCTGTCCTTGGCCTCCCACAGTGCTAGGATTATAGGCATGAGCCACCACGCCCGATCTTGAAGTTCTTAAAGTCATTATTTTTATTATTTTAAAAATTATTTTGCAAAAAAATTAAATTAGAAAGTCATTTATCACAATCTAATATGTTAATACATTGTTTTGAAAATCCTACACTAATAGATTACTTTGTAGATTACTTTTTCATTGGCTCATAGATAGGATTTTTGATTCTTAAAAAATCCAGGTACTATAATTATAATTCTTACTAATTTCACTTCGTCATCTCCTTATGTCCCATACCAATTTATCCCATATTTGCCTGGTAATTTGTGCTCAATTATGTGGAGGGAAAATTACATTAACTCAAGGGCAAGGGGGAGAATTTAATTGCATAAGAAGCAGGAAATTCAGAGTTAACCTTATTTCTGCCCTTTTGCATTTTCCATTTACAGATGGATCCTTCTTCACAGGACTGCAGAGCATAGCAATCCAGAATTCTGTGTGAATACAGGAGAAGAGCAGGAGATCCCCAGGAAGCCCTGCTTCATTTTTTGGTTGTCCTGCCTCCCAGGAGGTGGGCACTCTGGAGCATTTATTTGCCTCTTCCTGCCTCACAGAGACCTACAGGCAACACAGCAGTTAGCCAGAGGCTGCCAACTAATGCTGGGATGACAGGTCCGGGGGTCACAAAAACCTAATACCGTGGGCATCTCTGAGACACAGTGTCTGGATTCCCACAAGCTATGGGAACGTCTTTCTACAGGGGTAGGTATTCTTCTGTTCTGTGCTCCGTCCAACACAAGAGACACTTGGTCTCATCCAGGCAGTCTTTGTACCATTTCTCAGTGGAATCGACCCAATCAGTCCTTCTTACTCCCTTCATAGGCTCAATCTTCAGCCATGAAACACTAGTTTTCCTGGTTTTTTTCGTAAATTGGCATATACTCCTGGGGGGGACTTGTGACAGAAGCTTTTCCCCACTCTCTACAACGGAATGAAATAAAAAGAAAAATGTGTCTTACGATTATTCCTTTCCTTACCACCTCTTTTCAATTCTTTCATCTGCCTTCACTCTTCCCTTCAGTGTGTTGGCAGTTTTGTGAGAGCAACTTACAAATCTTAATTGGACAAGAACTTCATGGCTGATTCTAAGATCACTGACAAAGCCAGCTAGCAAAGATAGTAGGGGTCCCAGTTTGTCACCTCTGCAGCCAAGAAAACAAAATAAAACAAAACAAAAAAAACCAAACTGCTGTTTTGAGAGGGGGCTGATTGATACGAAATTTTATCTGGCTCCTTGGCAATGATTTTAAGTCCACACTCCAGTCAGAAAATACATTCCTTGAGAATGTTTTTTTTCATTTCCAACTCTCCTAATAATCTATATGCTAATCAGGTCAGTCCCAGACAGCTTGTTTTGATTAACACCTAACAACGCTAAATTAAGCACTACAATTAAAAAAAAAAACTAACACTGATTTTGGCATATGGCTAATCCGGTAATTATTTTTTAGTCCTGGTGAAAGTATTCAACAAAAAGCAGGTGCATGTAGATTCTACTGGATAAACTGACACTGGCTTGATAATTAATGACATAGGACTGGCAATTTCCGTCAAGTATTTTATGAGTAATTATCACAGTCGTGGGAAGGAGGAGGTAGAAGAGGCAAAACAAACACAATATTGACGCAAGGACAGGATTGGCAGGGTGAGAACTGGGAAGACATGAAATCGTCAAGAAGAGTCATTGTTGCACGCAGGAGGGGAGCTTCAGCGGGGGCTGGGAAGAGGATAATACTGAAATGCTGGGCAGGCAGGGTGTCTGGAAGGGAAAGGATTAAGAAGTAAACTGGAAAAGGAAGAAACTAAGGGACTTCTGAGTAGAGGAACTGGGTCATAGCCCTTCCTCATCAATAACTAACCAATAATGTAAACAAAAACACAATCCATTTAAAAAATTAGCAAAAACTTGACCAGCAGCATCCAAACAAGGAAAAAAGTACCGCTTTATGGTATAAACTTCAAAAAGAAGCAACCAAGGAAAGAAGCGTAAGATTTGATCACAGCTTCTAACTGTCCCTCTGCACAACCCCTAACCTCATGCTTAGCAGGTTGTGCTAGTGAATTGCCTAAACCCCACGAATTCTCACAAATACCCACACATTTTGAAAGAAAGAGGAATATCTTTATCTTTCTTCTTTTTTGACTGTGGAGGGCCTGGAAATGTTTGCTGGCAGGAGATGGGAAAAACATGAAAAATAAACACTTGAGGGTGACTGTCTTTGACGAACTGTGTAAGTTCTAGGGCTCCAACCAGAATTAGAGGAATAATATTGATTGAGAGGTACCTGCAATGGGTAAAAGCTACACCCATATTAGGTCATGAGACTCTTGGCAGGGGACATTTAACAAATTTTCAAGAGCAGCAGAGCCGAATTCTTCCAACAAAGGCTGTACACAACTCCAGGGGAGCTTGTCCCTCCTCCGCCTCCATACATAATATTCAAGTTTCAAACTATAGCTCGGAGGGGAAGAAAAACAGGCCTAAGACGAGATGTAAAAGGAATCAAGGATAATGTTCCAATATATATGAGAATAAATAAAAGGTCAGGACAGTGCCACCCATGCTAAGAATGAGCAAGAAGAGAAGTATGGCAACTATGCAAACTAATATAACAACAGTTCACATAGAGAGAGAGACAGAAAGAAACATAACATATAAAAGACAAAGAATCCAATCTTGAAGAAAACATAATCCAAGGAACAGAAGAAAATTTTCCACCAGTGTTTCACACTGT